CACTCTCCTGTGTCCACAGGTGGTGCCGGCCGGCTGGCTCTGTGCCGTCCATGGTGTCTGCCTGGCTTTCATCTGGGGTCTTGCCCATGGCCCTGCACCTGTGTGGACCTTGTTTCTGGGCACCCCTCGGTGTGGGGCGACCTTCGGTGTGTGTGCTCGAGTGGGACTTGCGTGGGTCTGTATGCAGAGTTGTGCCCCGTCAGGTGTGTTCTTGATGTCACCTTTTGTGTGTCCCTGGGTGGTAGGAGACACAAGAGCCAGGGCCTGACCTGCAGAAGCCTTTATTGAGTAAATGGTTTGAGGGCAAAATTTCACATGGGGCAGTGGTGCGGGCCGTGTGTCCGTGGCTGCCCATGTGACGGGTCCTGTGGCTCAGCCATCTCTGGGTCCACTTAGGCCTCGTCCTGACTGCCCAGCACTTGCACCTGGAAGGCAGACACAGGTGGGCTCAGAGACCTGGTGGTCAGGAACTGGAGAGTCACGGCCCCAGCAACCAGACAAGCCCTCTGTGGGAGGGTGGGCCAGCCCCGGCACGTTGCTGGGAGGTATTGCATGTGCATGCATGACTGTGTGCCTGCACCTTGCAGACGTGTGTGTGCACGACCCAGGGTAAGCATGCGTGTGTGGATGTGTCTGTGTGTGTGCATGTGTGCCTAGAGGAACAGCCCCCAGGCTGGAGGGGGAGCCGGTTGGTGGAGTCTGGGGGCTGCTCTGAGGGCTGGAGGTCTGGGGTGTCAGCCTCGCTGGCTGACGCCTGTCGGGGCGTCTGCGGGTGGTTGGCTGTGGGTGCCGTGCTGGGTGGGCGACCAGGGCCACGCGTCTGCGGGTCTTGGCAGGCTGCGGCCTTGAGGGGATGGGGTGCCCTCCAGCCCCCATACCAGCAGCTTGACCAGCTCCGCCTTGTGGCTGGGCTGCAGGCCGTCTATGCCGGACTTGAGCGCGGTGAGCGCAGCCTTGGCCTCCTCGTTGACGCTGAACTTGCCCAGGGGCCCCTCATAGAGCTCCTCTGCGGTCCCCACCAGCAGTGTTTGTAGGAATTCCATGAAGAACTCCTCACTGTCCTCCCCTGAGCCCAGCCCTGCATGGGGCGAGAGGACGCCAGGACAGGAGGGGATGACTCTGGCGCAGCCCAGCCTCGACCCGCCCCGGGGCTCCAACCCCTGTGTTTTCCTGACCTCGCCTGGCAACGCCCACCTCTTCTCCACAGTCTTCCTCCCCAACACCCCCAACTCCACCTGCCCAGAGGCCCCTCCCTCAAGCCCAGCCACCCGATGCCCACTCAGAGTTTCCTGGGGTCACCAGGAAGAAAAGTCAAGCCCCTGGTGTGAGGCTGGTCTGACCTGCGGCCTTGAGGGCGAGGGTCAGGTTGGACTGGGCTGGGTCTGTGGCCGGGGCAGGGTTGGGTGGGGTCTGGGCCGGCAGGGTCCTGGCACACTTCTGAGACAGGCAGGAGTGGGGCCTGATGCCCGAACCTGGCTTCCCAGGTTCCCCAGCCCTCCCCCAGACCATGCTGGAAGCATGGTGTCCGCCCCGCCCGGTGGCCCAGACTCACCCCAGACACAGAGCAGGGTGAGGGCCACCAGCAGGAGGGCGCGGCTCCCCTTCATGCCTGCAGCCTCTGGAGCTGCTTCCTGCTGGGATCCTGGGGTTTTATGCCCGCGGCAGCACCTCACCCGAGGGGCGGGCCGGACCTGCCAGTCAGTACCGGTGGCTCAGATAACGTCCTCGCCCGCCCCCCCATGGGCAGCAACAGGCAGGGGTGTCTCAGCAACAGGTGGGAGGCGGCTGGCAAGCGTTTGGGGTGCATGGGAGCGGGAACAGTGTGCAGTGCGTGCAGGCGACTGGCCCACGCAGGCCAGCCCGGGAGGAAGGGCACCATGCCTGGCCTTGAGGCTGAGGGCGGGAGCTCTGAGGCAGGCCCAGGCCTTTCTTTCGGGGAAACCCACCCCCCGTCCAGTGTGCTGCGTGCCCTGGGTCTTGGCCTGGGGGTCTCCAGTGGGCCAAGAGCCTCCTCGTTACTCAGATGGGGGCAGACAGGAGGGGACATAGTCTTCTCGTGCGGATGGAGTGATGGGGCTTCTTGGGCCTGTGGACCTGGGAGAGACGGGCCAGTGGCAGGGTCTGGGGGGGAGGCAGCAGCCTGAAGGGTCAGAGGGGCATGGCACTCGCCCCCCGGGGCCGTCACACAAGAAGCGAGGAAGGGGCTGGGACACATCTCAGCCAGGGGAAGCCTGAGGCCCCGGGGACAGTCCTGGGTGTGTTGCCCTGGAGACGGGGGGCCTGGGACACCGAGGGCCCCAAACCAAAGCACTTCAAGTGCACCCGCGGGCGCAGGAGCCCCGGCCTCCCTCTCTGCGGCCCTCTGCTGCCACCTGGCGGCACGTGGCACCCCGCGGCCCCAGGCGGCTCGCCTGGCCATGGCCTCCTGGGCGGGCTACCACGGGGCCCCTGTCATCCCGCCCAGAGCGCTTCCTGGTCTGACACAGACCGACCCCCGTGCCCCGTAAGCGCACTGCCTTCGACGTCAGCGGTTCTCACAAGCCTAGACTGCCCCCCCATTTATAACAAATCTTTCGTGACCCCTTCCGTTAACGTGAAATTGAGTTCATAGATGTTCTCACCTACTTATAAACATAATTCCAAAAACACGGGAGAAACAATGTGTAGTGGAGTAGTCAGTGATGAAACAATGTGGCAGCAGCTCAGAGGACGTTTGATCCATGTGCCCAGAAGACCCCGGGGGGTTCCGAGCCAGGCTGCCTGGTGGTCTGCACGTCTGCTCTGATGGCCCCATGCGATCACTGGGGGAGACTCTGGACGTGCAGCCTCCAGGCTGCTCCCTGTCCTGGACCAGCAAAAGCAGGGCCCTGGGGCAGGATCTTGAGGTCTGTGGTCTCAAGCCCTCTGGGGGATTCCAACGCCTCAGGCTGGCCCCAGTGGAGACTGACGGTTTTTCTCCACGGAGACTGAGGCAGACCGGCTTCTCGTCCTCACCCCGGCCCCTTGGAGGGCCTCGCCATTCGTGTGAGCTCTTCCAGGGCACTGTCGGCCGCAGTCTCCAACACTCTCTCGCAACTGCTGAGGAGCTGAGCATCTCAGTTCTGTCTTTCTCCGCTCCCGGCGCCAGCACTGTTCTTGGCGACTTTGCTGTCCGCATGTCACAGCCCCACTCGCATCCCCTAGCCTCTCGCCCACCACCTGCAACCTCGACTCCACCTGCTCCAGCCAGCTCCTCCAGGATTGCTCTCTGTGGCCGACAGTACCGATAACACACCCGCTTCTGCATTTCCATTCAGAGCACCTTTCCCGCTGTCCATCTCAGTGCCCAAGTCGCGCAGTTATCCAGGGAGCTGGCAACTCACTCTCTTTCCCACGTGGAGTCCGGCCCAGCTTGCGTCCACAAGGCCTTGTCACAGTCACGTCACAGCTCGCCCCCTCAACCCTGTGCCTGCCTCCCTCCGTTCTCCTGATAAAGCCCCAGCGCTGGATGAACCCGCCTCTGCCTCCCGGGCAGAATGTGGCTGGGCTGCCGTGGGCAGACCTTTCCTCAAGACCACAGCCTTGGGCATGTCCCCAGGGCCTGTCAGGACTTCTGCTAGAGTTCCCTGGTGGGTGTGTTCCACCTCCCTGAAGGTGGCTGCCTGTCACGCCGCCCCTCCCATTTTGCTCTCTGTGTCTTGGCTCTTAACTCAGGTGAAGGGGTCAGAAGAAAAACTTCACGCCCAGCACCAAATACGCCAACCTGCCTTCGTGTTTGGGCATCCACCTCGGGTCTCCTTAAGCTGTAGGGGACGAACGGTCGGACTGACGGCTAGTCCTCCTGTCCCGACATTTCACGACATCTCCCTGGGTGAGGTCTTTTTTTCTCATCTTTCTGCAACACATGCTTTTCTGTTTCTCCTGGGTCATTCTCACCAGCATACACTCAATGCTATGACCTTGCCCAACTTCAAGCAAAGCCAAACAAGGGCTGAAGGGTCTCTTGGCTCTCTGGTGCCTACCTGCTCCCGCTGCTCTGGGCCCGGGACCGCCAGAGCCTTCTGTTTTCAGGCCGGGTTGGCGAAATGGAGAGCCACAACAGATCAGAGTGAGGGGTAAATGATTTCTGGATCCATTCAAGTCTATGCACTTTTTCTTTGGTTGAAAAAGAAAAGACAAATGTTCTATCAATGCATAAGTTTTTTTTTTTGAGTTGGAGTCTCACTCTGTCGCCCAGACTGGAGTGCAGTGGCTGCTCCCGGCCACCGCAGCCTCGACCTGCTGGGCTCCGGCGATCGTTCCGCCTCAGCCTTCCAAGTAGCCGGAATTACAGGCGTGCACTACCATGCCCGGCTGATTTTTTGATTTTATTGTAGAGATGAGGTCTCGCCTGCCTAGGCGGGTCTCGAACCCACAGGCTCAGGCAATCCACTTACCTCAGCCTCCCAAAGGCGTGGGATTACAGGCTGAGCCACTGAGCCCGGCTGCATAAGTTTTTGGTTATAAAATTCACAGATTTGCACATACAAATATCATATATGTTAAATTGTGGGATGTATCATAATAATCTGCACAAGTTCTATTGTTATAATCTCTATTTTGCCCTATTACCTTGTCTGCCTTAATTAAAAACACATTACATTCTGTTCTTGCATGGAAATATTCAGACAATTAAAATACTGAATGTATCAAACTAATTCACATTGTTAATGAAGTGGAATGAAATTGGCTTTTTTTTTTTTTTTTTTACAGAAACACTAAAAGTTCACTCTGTAGTTAAACATTATCAACAGAACTTCTCCCTCAATAACCATGTCTAATAATGGACTAACAATTGTTACTGACCAGCTTTCATACTATCACATAATGGAGAGATAACCCTAAACTTAATGTATGAGGTTTTGTGGAAGTCCCCACTTCACCGCATGCCTGTGTACACAGTTTAGGCCAGCTGCCCTCTCTCACAGCCATGCACGGTCACAATGAAGGAAGCAGCACATTGACTTAGACTCTGGGGCAGCTCATTGTCAAAGTCACTGCTCTAGAATTTTCCTCTTGTAGTAAGCTGGGCCATCGGATCACACAGCAACAAACCCACCTCCGAACCACATCTGCATAGTTACGTGTGGCTCAGAGCTGCCGTTCTCATTGGCAATGAAAATAAACACATCTCTTCCTTTGCCTGTCATATTCAAATTACATATATATTGAAAGAAATGCCATGTTATCAAGAAGACGCAATGAAAAATACTGTGACGCTTTTATTTGTTCTGTAAGTTGGTCGACCATTTCATTAACCCGTTCCTTGATATGAGCTATGGTGTCTTCAGAAAGCAGTACCACAACTACTTTCATCTTAAAAACTATTTACTTATTTTATGTATTTTCACTTTTTTTGAAACGGTGTTGTTTTTCACCCAGTTTGGTGTACAATGGCACACTCATAGCTTTCTGAAACCACAGCTCTCTGAACTCCTGGGCTCAAGCCATCCTCCCACCTCAACCTCCCGAGTAGCTGGACTTACAGGGACATGCTAACACACATGGCTAATTTCTCTTTATGCTTTGTGGACATGGGGTCTCACTATGTTCCCCAGGCTGAGCTTAAACTCCTGGCCTCAAGAGATCCAGCCTTGGCCTCCCAAAGTGATGGAATTGTAGGTGTAAGTGACTACGCTTGACCCCAAACTACATTCTATACCTCTGAGATCTGAGTACCTCCATCCATTCCAATCACAGTCCAGAATGGTAAATTCTATGTCTGTATAATTTGGTAATTCATAGCCTTAAAAATCTAGAACACTAGGGATAAGCTGAGTGATCTCTCACAGAAACAAAGGGCTGAGTATCTCGTGTTCTCACTCGTAAGTGGCCTTGAACAACTACTGTGTTACTACAAGAAAAGGACTGCAAGTGGCAGGAAACTGTGGGGAGGTGGGATGGACACAGTCGATATCTGCCTGGGGTGGGGGGCCGCACCTCATCAAGAAGGGCACCCGCACAGGAAATATTTGCATACCTAGCCCTGAACTGTGCCCCACAAGTTTAAATAAAAAACAAAAACGGTCTGGAGTTCTCCAAGCATCCGGCAAAATCTTTTGGACTGGTGCAGAACACCTCTCCACAGCGTGGCACATGTCGGCAACTGGCCGCCTCCACGATTCACACAGACACACCCATCAGCCCCCTTCCCTGCCGACGCCGTGCCCTCCCCCGAGGGTGGTGCAGCCGCTCTCCTGGCCCTCCGGTCTCCGCCCTGCAGACGCCCTGCTTTCCCTTAGTCCATTCCCTCGTCTTGGCAAAACACACCCTCTGGTAACTTTTCAGGAAGGGGACGTGGGAAGTGGAGCTTTTAAGATCTGCGTTTACGGAGAGCGTCTCCATCCTAGACTTATTTTGACGCTGCCCTTCCTCCCTTCTCCATCTCCTTTCTCTCTTTCCTTCCGGTTACTTTTAGTCTCTAATCTCCACGTTGAAATCTATTCCATATTAGCCAATCGACATCTACAGAAAAACTCCAGACTGCTGACTAGAAGTTCTCTGCTCGTGCCAGCTGGGAACTTCGCCACAGGCAGGTTGGTGGGACTGGCTGGGCCCTTGGGACTCCCCACCGTTCACGTGTTGAAGCCACTTTTCTGGGTT